TTTTTTTGCTGTGGTTACGAATGTTCCGGGAATGTCTGTTAATTTAAGCATATTCGATCTGAAATTTCATTAAACTACCTTCCATTTTTAAAAAAATATTTTAGTGGCTCGCGTGATATCTCTCTCGGTTGTTTGGGGGTAAGTCGCGATTAGCGATCCTAACTTCTTGCGGGTTTTGAGGAATGGTCTAATTCTGATTTAGCATTGAATCCTAGTCGATAAGCCTCTTTTTTCTTCCACGAAGCAGTTCGAACTTTGTCTTCAAGCCCCATTAGTACGTTGAGTATTTGGTTTTCTGTTAATAGTGGAAATCGAATTGAGTTTTGTTATTACATCTATCATCGTTTGTAACAATGGATCAATCTCCCTTCATCGGCCCAAAACTTCGACACAGCAGAACACCAATGATTTTAGCAATGTGAATTCACACTTTCAAGATGAACTTCCATTTTAGAGTGGTTGGGTTTGTTGACATTTATTTAATATTGTCCTTAATGGATTTGTTATGCGTTGTAAACGGCCTTTCGAACTATTTGATTTAGAAGTTGGCAACAAAGAGCTACATTGTTTAGCTCTATATTGGAAAGCTTCACTTTTACAGGACAAAAAAGAAAGCGCAAACTTTCGGTACTAACTTTGTTAAATTTTTGTTCAACCAGAAATCATGATCCTTTTACACGGCTTGGCCCGCCTCAAATTTGGCGCTTATGGCTGGCATATGTCTTAACAGTGCAGTTTCAATTTGTTTAGATCATGCTATGATAAACAAGAGATAGATGTCAACAATGTTCTTTAGTTTAAAGGAATCGAGATTGTTCCTGATGTTAGCATGCGTCAGATAATCAGGCAATCTTTCTTGGCATGTAGGAAAGAATAGCTGTTGTTAGTGTTGCGTGTCTTATTTTTTTCCACTTTTTGAAGACTTCACGCTAAAGTATGCCACTGGACTTGCTTTACTCTTCACTATTTAAAAGTTACTGAATATTAGACAGATATTAGACTAATCCCTTTGCTTTTTTGAGTAGCAGCGTTATTGCTTTCAATTTTTATCTCAACTGAGGGTGAATTTTGCCTCTATTAGCACACGGTGCTAAAGGGGACTACAACCAGGATAATTAATCCCACTTCCTCTCACTCGTTGGGACATTCTTCGTTCATACCTCGATGTCAATGCGCAATCTCAAAGGGGCGTTTTGCTCCAATTAGTGATTCACCTAGAAACAGCGGTTTTTAGCCTCTGCAGAAAAGAGAACCTATTTTCAATTGGTCTGGAGTGGATTTAGATGGAGCCCTTTGTCCTACAGGTCCTTTCTGGTGGCTCATTTCCGAAGACGCATACAGAACAGAGACAGGCAGAATGTTCCTCTCTCTCTGGAAGGCCGTGCTTCTGACCCTCTGATCTTAGCGACATGTGAGGTAGCAACTGAAGTTGGAGTCCCAGAGACCTGGGTACACGATGCGATGGTATCATCTGAAGGGCGGTCTACTATGGTCCGTTGAACTATGCATTTCCGATGTCGCATTGCACCCTTTTCAATGCCTTATTGTGACAAACATTTTATCGATTGGACGTAGTCTTTTACTGTAAAATTAATCACATTTGTATGGTTGCTCTGATTCGCATAGTTACGAATAAGTCTTTAGCATTCTTTTATTTTTGCATTATAAGGAGAAGTGAAAAGTCGAATCATCGCGTTGTAAAAGTGAACTATCTCTTTCCAGAATGAGTCTTCGGGTTCGGTAAAAAAATATTCCCGTGAAGTGCTAAAGCGATTTCGTCCTTTGCAGCAAAAGTGCTCACCAGTCATCAAGCATTTCAGTGCCTTAAATTTAAATTTTTTGCTCTTGTAAATAGATGTGGAAAGGCTCCTTTATAGTTCATTTTGTTTTGCAACTTTACAACCACATTTTAACCCTTTTCGGCATTCGCGTTACTCACGATGGCGTAGAGGGTTTTGTGCGATTCTGTTTCTGAGTGCTCTCATTTAGTCATAGCAACAGATTGAGTGCAGCCTTCGAGTGGCTCGGAGGTCCAATCAGGGCTGGAGTGAGCGAGATCACAACTCGAGAAAATTTCGAGATGACCAATCATCTTAGACTTTTAGAAGATAGGACTGAAAAGTGCTGTGACATTGTCGAGCATAATCATTTCAAATAAGCTATTTTAACTGTATCATATGGAGGTTAGTATATTTTACTACATTCTGCTAGTTCATGTGACGGCACTGTTGTGGACCGCAATAAATCTTAATCTGTCCCATTTCTAAAGTACCATATTTTAACGCGATCAGGAAACGTTTCGTAAGTATGTCTAATAGATGTGTCAGGTTTATAAACAAACTTCGCAAGCCATAACTTTGTTGCAGTCCCATCTCTATCTCCTGTTGCGAGAACTGAAGTAATCACTTGGCGAAAACAAATGGTAGGGGATGGAATTGACCGCTATTTATCTCATTTTGCTGAGGCTTAATAGACTTGTGTTTCGTTTACGATAAGGGAAATTTAGGCTTCCTATTTGGACTTACACCCTTTCACAAGTTTGTTTTCGGCGTACGTTAAGTTGTCTATTCACGTATCGCCCAGCCCAGATCTGCATCGTAACTCTGAATTCATGAAATATCGTTGTATCCATTATCGAGAATTGCCACCTTTTAAATGGTGTTTATCGCCTCATTCATTCGTTTTCTTTCTATTTAAATGTGCTTAAGTTGTTTGTTGTTCGTAGCAGTTAGGGCTCGTGGAGACATTTGGCCTTTGGATATGCTACATTGGTACGTTTGCAACTGGAAATAGCACAGCAAAAAGATTTATGTGGTTATAACTACTCAAGGTATTGACAGTTATATTGGATTTTTCACTTGCAATTATTGGGATCGAAAGGTTTTTTTTTCAGTGGTGGCAATCCTTATGAAACTTGGTATTTGTCTTTTTTGACTATTTTTTTGTTACACTTCTTGCATAATTAGGCATAGGTGGGCGAATAGTTAGCTGAGAGGCAAATAGAACATGCGAAATTGGATTCGTTTTATGATCATTAGACGTAAGCTGTTTTTCGTCTGATCCTCTCAGGGTGGCTTGCTTTGGGCTCTCTTTTTTTTACTAAAATAAACGCAAAGACTCAGTCAAATTACCTTATGTTGGCTGCGCTGTCCCATCCTTACATGAGACTGTTGCGTATTCCGTTGAATTAGTTCGGTATTTGTATAATCTACCCCATCAGTGCATGAACATAACGTCACCACCTTTTATTGTGCTATGAATAGTTGTTTAAAGCATTTGCACTTATCACATGTGCTACGCTGAATCGATATCACTGTCTCATTTCAATTCGCTATGAAATATTTGTGCGGTAAAATTCTAGGAATCCTCTAGTCTCTCATATGATGGCACCTCTTTGGTTCGTCGTGTTCTGGGAGCCATAGGTAGCTTCTTGTCCCCGTCACCGGCTGAGGAGCAGGCTACTGTTGCATTGGTTGATCAGTCCTTCGCTGACTCAATGAGTATTATCAAGGCGATTGCTTTTAGTGTAAGTTTTTTTAACTGGTTTCCTTTTTATGCCACTTCTTGGTACTTCCGACAGTAATTACGGTCTCACAGCATGAGTAATTTAATGACTTGTAATTTGATTGTTTACATTAGTCAAAATTCTATGCTAGCCTTTGCTTTCATCCTGATAACATCGACGTCCTGCGAGTTTACTTTAATTAGCTTAGCACAACACTGGGCATAATTTTTTTCATTTTTGCACATTTAAAGCTTTACTCCTCCGGTGGATGTATCAAACCAGTAAAATTTTATTTTGTCTACTTCTACCGTCAGCTGGTGTTTTTGGATAAACTAGAATTTTTACCCATTTACACCGTCCACGTGATAATCGGTGCTTGATGCGTGGATTTGAGGTTGGCATTTCTCTCCGCGAATGGGGAAGTTTGGAAAAGTAGACTTTTCCAACTTATATTTAACATTTCCGTATTTCTACTCTTTTAGCTTGATCTCCCCACTCACTTGCCAGAATCCTTTTATACCAAACTGCCTTTTTGCCGTTCCAGTTCAAATGACAATCTTAAGTCCTTAATGGAGGAGCTTGAGCTACTGACATTTTATAGTAAGGTGAGTCAGCATCTAATTCCTCTTAGCGAAAAAGATTTTAACTTTCTAGATTTTAAGGCTTTTGTAACGGTCCTTTGGAAGCAGAGCCGCAAAGGCGATTCTAAGAGTCGTTTCAAAAATTATATCAATATGAATTTAAGAGATAAAAGCAATGCAATTTTGCAAATTATCATGAAGCGTGGTTTTGGAGGCTCTTTTCTGTCAAACCGCCGGAAAGCCGAAACTGGTTTGTAAACCCGATTTGATTAGTGATGTTGTAAACAGTCAGTCGAGTATTTCTTACTCATTTGGGGGTGATGTTTACCGAAGTAATTGAACTCGCTTCTTTTCAAATGTAATGAAGCTGGGCTTTTCCACCTTGATAAAGGAGGTTTTAGCAAAACTGGACGTCGATCTTTCACTTTGGTCTAAGGAGGCATTGTTCAGGCTCTTGTTTGAATGCAGTAATCCGAAACTTGTCATTGGAGGTTTGTGGGTATAATTATATGCAAGAAAGCTTGGATCACTATGCATACCATATTATTTAGCTATAGCCTTTGGAAAATGCACTGATTGTTGGCGTAGACTATTTTTATCTAAAATAATTGAAATTGAGTCTGATTTGCGTGATGTATCGGGAGCATACTTAGACCAAACCAAGAATACAATTTGATCAAGTTATTGTAGTTGCTTGTTTAGCGATTAGTAAGTGGTTGTAAGCCCAAAATCCATTTGGTGATAAGGGAATTTGTTTGGAAACATGCAAAGTAACCCGAATCTTCTAAGTCCAGACTCTTAACGGCTTAAGACTGAGTGACTGGTTGTTATGATTATAGTAAAGATTGTAGGCACTGCATAAATTTAAAGCGTGGTATAGGTATGAGTCGGTGATTGATGAACTTATAGATTGGTGTCTTGTCATAAAGTATTGGAGATCATTCCAAGTATCGTCCCTTCTTTCCTCATTGACAGTCCAATGACTTCCTGAACGCGGTGGCACAAGCGGAAGTATCGCTGGAGTTAGTGCAGCACGCAGTTGAAAAGTTGGAGAATGTAGCCATATACCTACTAGCTGCCTACTTCCCCGTGGATGGATTGGTTGCTAGCACAGCCTCAGATCTCAACCTCCTTCGCTGCCTGGAGGTGCCAGCATCCCGCGACATCACTCCTTTCCCCTCCTCTAAGCCCAAAGACCACCTCGTCCGCTTTGGCTATTGTCAGTTCCAATTCGCCTCTTTCCTTGCCAACCTCTCTCTCCTGCCTGAAGCCGTTGATACCCTCTCCCAGCCTTGTAGGTGGCCAGCACACTCTCAAATAACTATTCAAAACCTACACCGTTGCTAAGTCTAGGTTCTTTCAAAAGTATTAAGCCATGCGAGCCAAGGGAGTACTTTTGGAATGCTAAGAAATCTGTTTATTTCAAACTAGGTAATGAACACTACCATCTTATCAACTAATGGCACTTTAGGTTTGCTTGAGGCAATGCCGAAAAACTAGAGGCCAATGCAACTAGTTTCTAATACGTTCCATCAATTTTTCACCCATAACGTGGAACAGAATTGTAGCATAATGGACTGGACTAAGTGTATCTTTAAAACTTTGCGATTCAACTGCCTAAATTAAACTTTTACAAATTACGGTATCTGCATTAGGCAGACTTTTAAAACCGTCACCACTTAATTTGAATGTTTCTCTGAAATTTTCGATTGCAGTGCTCTACGCTATAGGGTGACTGCTTCAGCATGCTTACGGATTCGTTTTTGCCAATATGGTTCAGTGTTCGAACTTTTGATGCATCAAAGCACCAAGCCCTACTGCAATCACTTTTGGGCATCCGCTAAAATTGCTTCGCAGATTTTTGTTTTTGATACTAAAGGCCGATTTCACCTTGTAATTGGTTGGACGCGTCCAACTGTTACATCTATAACTGCAATGCAAAAGCAAAGTTTATAATTAATTTATAATATTTTCAAAGGATCATTAGCATTTATTTAGTGCCATTAGAGTCAAGTAATTCATGGAAAGCCATTTTTTGTATTATAAGTGGATGGGAACTGCTTTCGCGTGTAAGTTGCAGGTTCAATGAAGTGACGACAACTTGCGCGAAGCGCTAACAACAATCGAAGTAAATTGAATCCTACAATAATTTGTTTCAAAACAAGAGACATTTTTCGTCGTCCCGTTTTTGTATTTTCAAAAAACTCCCTACCGCGACTTTAAGTCTTGTGATCTCGTCTACCCAGTTACAATGTGTACTTATTCCTATACTGCGTCCTCTTGATTGAATTTTTTAAAAGTAGATTAGAACTGAGATGAAATAACACATATTCGATTTACTTGACCGAATTGGCGACACAAAAGTGATGGCATTAAGATCTCCAACGAGGTCATGATAAATGGATAGTTGAATAATATCTGTTATAAGTCTGACAAAAGTCGATAGGTTATTTTGGTTTTTTTTCATTAATAGGTCTGAAACCCTGGCTTGAAATGTGGTCTACGTCACAGGACGTTCGGTTATGCCTCCTTTCCTCCAAGATCCAGCACAATCTACTTGCTTACAATTGGCTCAGTTCTAAATACAGCAGCGCAGTGCAGGATGAAGGGAAGGGTTTCGTTCCAAATTTGCCCGACAACAAGAGACCGTGTTTTTACCTGCCCTCGTCGACGCTTTATGATGCTTCGAAGTCCTCACAAAATAAAACCCTTCGCGACTCTCCCGTAATTTATGGACCAGATGTATTTCAGCTAGACAAACGGGAGTATGTGTTTCGTACGATGGACTAAAATGCTCCAAACGACCGATAAAACTTGGGATCTCTATATCGGTTTCCTCAAGCCCAAAATATTTCTGACTGTTTGATTTCTACTATGGATCCAGCCGTATTGAAAGCTATCTATGTAGGGAAATTGTTTTTTTGCATCACGCGCTTGAATGCATGGCAAATTGATACAAGATCAGGGTTTATCTCCTATTTGGTAATGCTAACCTATAATGTTTGTCGTCTGGTTTCTAGTAGGTGTCTGTTTATAAAAGACTACTTTCCAATATGATCTTACCCGAGTCTTTTGTCATCGATACAACTTGAGAACAGATGCAGTGTCTAAACCACTTCTCCAATTAGTGATCGTCCGGATTCATCACCACCCAAAATCGACATTATCTTTATCAATGGGATGCTAGGCAGTGTGTTTCACACCTGGCGTCAACGCGACTCCAACGACGGGGCTGGTGAAAGCTTTTTGGAAAGTGGCGAAGATTCGAGCAGCAGAATTCACAAATTGTCTCCCTCATTCCCTGGCCAAATCAGTTGCTGGCCTCAGGTACGTAATTTATTTCGGTAGATTATGACAACTTCTCACAAGTAACGTTAGCACGGTAACCCAAGGCTCCTGATGTGTACTTTCTAGTGTTATAGACTGCATTCATTCTGTACCTTCATTAGTAAAGGAGCCAAGGTCCTTGAAATTACCTTACTGCAAACTTAATGCAGCAAGTTTGAAAGTTATAGGAATATAATAGGATATAACGTTAGCTGCCTAGATTTCAGGTTCATTCAACATTTGCCGATGAAAGAAGGGTTTAACTAAAGTAATCCAGAAAGTTAGCTTAAGAAAACCAAGTAAGGGGAGGTAGTATGTACGAATATGAAGTTAACCAATTTTTAAGGAAATATTTCATTGTAAAAAATAAAACGTCTTGCTTCGTGCAGCGGAGCTAGATTAAGCCTCTTGAATACAAATTAGACAACTGTTGGTAAAAGTCGTGAAGGTATGTTCTGAAGAAAATCCTCATAAGGTTATGGTTGGCAGTAGTATTGAAGTCAAATGAATTCACTACTCTCTTTTAAACGGTTGGCCTATACGTCATCTGTTCTCTCCTCTGAATTTTTGTTGAATAAATCGTCCATCGCTTCGCGTTGCGTTTGAGGCTTAAAGTATTCCTGTTTGATGGGACGCTCTTATTAGCGCTAGCCAATTGTACTTAACTATCATATCTATGCTTTCAACCTGGTTTTCAGCTTTTGCTATGCTATTTTCTGCCTTTTATTTACCAAGGCTTGGCTAAGCGAGGAGTTCCCTGAAGCCCGTATTCTGGGTGTCAATGCAAATTTGAGGCCTTTTATTTGGAACCCTATTTGTCCTGCAGAAAAGACCAAGTAGGTTCCATTCACTCCCATCGTTCTAAGATTTCTTGTACAAATTTGGGTAATTAAACTTAATATCTTCCGACTTTAGTACTTTAGAAGTCCTGAATCCATGACCATATATTGTGTTTCTTTACAACCAATTATGTGTCCCAGATGGTGTTGGTCTCAATCCTTGTTCGATTACACAGATACAGCTATTCGACGAACAGCTATCCCTATTTAAGGTTCAACTGTTATTTGCTCTGATTCCTCAACGAAATTATACAATTTAAGCATCTTAGTTTTCGAAACTACTCATGAACCGAAAAGTGTCATCGTTAGTAATTTTTTTTTGCATAACAATGGAAACATCAAGCATTAGAATACAAGATCGTGGGAATGGTTTCAGGTAAAGTCTGGAATTCCATTTAATGCTCGCGTACATGGCAATAAACTCAGAGTGAAGAAAATGCACTAATTTAGTTGCGTATTTATAAACACTTGATGTTATTTGTTCTGTCGGGGATCATTCATCCCACCTTCTGAATCTGGTTCGTGTATGATTTCATCCATAAAAAGACAGGCTCAGCACTTTTTTGCACTTTGGATGTAGTGCAGCTTTTGCCTCAATCGTTTTTTTTTCAGTTTTTGTAGTGGAGCTGCCTTATCTAAATGACCTCAATTTCTAAACATCTTTAGACCTGTCATTTCTACATAGTGCTCAAATTTACTGTTTGGCTTACTCTGTTTCGAAAGAAAATCGATATTTGCTTCGAATAATGCCAGCAAACATGCTGGGTTGCGTGTTTGAAATTTGTCAACTTCAGACTTTACAAATCTCTTAGCTGGTTGTAATTATTCTTTGAAGCTGTGATCGATATTATTTATTCATTGTTAACTTTAGGCGCCGAATTGATCAAAGGGCTCGTGACATTCTGCATCAGCTTTTGCTAGCTGGTGTTGGCAGACGTCCAATAATCTGGGTTGCCCACTCTGCTGGCGGTAGGTCAACGAATAATTAATTTATTCAAGTTCTTATTAAGATCCCAAATTTTGGATCTCCGTCTTCTCCAACCTGAAGGTATACTTACCAAGGAGGTGCTGAAGCTCTCTGCCACTTGGATTCCCGAGTCTTCTGCAACTATCCTACCTTATCACGAGAAGTCTTCGCACTCCTCTCTCCACGTGACGAACCTCGAAGCCCCTGTTGATCAGCCCCTGCATGCAGATGAATGCATCGACCATTCCTTCTCGGATTCCGCTCTGCTCGATTGTAGTACCGGCGATGAGATTAACGTCGGCACGATCGTGACCTGTTCCGGCATTGCCATGGAAGCTCCCACTTCAGTGGCAAACCAAACCAAAGGCATAATCTTCCTTTCTGTGCCCCATCGAGGGAACCAGTCGATGATGTTTCTTTACCATTTTCCTATGGTGTTCACGCTCACACCAGAGGCGAAACAGCTACAGCAAAGTTTGTTTACTTCTTTAACTTTCCTTTTCTTATCAAAGGTATATGTCATAGTAACGATCGAATTAGTATAGGAGGCCATTGGGTGATTATTTTCTTAGAGTATTATTTGATGTAAGTTATGTCCACAGCTCATTCACACAACTCTTTGCACAGACATCTTTTTATGAACCTGCTTTAATTCGGATAATATTCAGGGAACAATTTTCAAGTCGAATGATCTTTAAACATTGTGAGGTAATTTGTAGAAAGGCTGTTTTTACATTGCCAACGCCATCCCACACTGGGATCTTGCGAGTTCGTTACTTATCAATTAAATAGTAGTCTTACAAGTTTGAATGTGGCTCGAGATGCCATAAAACTAGGATCTGTCCAGTTAGACGCGGTGCCAAATGCAACTGTAATGCTTCAGCTGTGTGCGTGTGCAAGACGTCAGTGTGTGTTCCTAAGATCAATTGCTTTTTGAACTCCAACTTTATGTATGAATCATCACCAAATTTAACATCTCACTTTGCTGCCATTACGAATCGTCGGGTGGTAGGCGCTCCAGAGCCTATTTTAATCACTTCACGAAAATGATTCGGTCATGTCGAGAAGGTCCACAATAGTGTGTGTTACTAAAATTGAATAGGAAGACATTCCCTCCCTTAAATCACGAATTATTTGGAGGTTAACCACTCCGTTTGCCATTTGTACTCATCGCGTGTAGTTCAGCGCACTATATTATAGAATGTCCTGTGCAGTGGATCAGTGTGATGTTTTATTACTCATTTGACGCATCAGGTTTATCTTTGTTTAGTGCCATTGTTTACTTGGACTGGAGCTGAATGGTTGGCTAGTGCTAAATTGGTATTTTACAGATAGCGCATCGATAATGAGTCTGCACAACTGGTTCCTAGAGTGGGCCTCCAAATGTCCGCTGCAGGTACTCAATCTCGTCGAAGACCGAGAGACGGTAATCAACCGATGGTATTCTGTGCACCTCGTTCAGTTTGAACCTCAAGGTAAGTCAAGTGCCTCCTTAAGTCCATGTGCCGGTAACAGGTATCCACAAACTGTGATTGAGGAGACTGGATCATCAGCTTCGCCAAGCCAAACACTGGCAGTTGATGGTTGAGGTGTTAGTCAACCAATGAATGAATTGCCGTTGAAGTTCTTGAACTTTTTAAAGGGTTATTAATCGGGAGAGTAAAAAATCCTGCCCATTCATTAGTCATTGCCTCAGTATTTCATCTGATTCTCTGTTTTAATTACTCACTCAAACCATTCTAACCAATTGCATATTCTACGTTGAAATTAAAAACATAATATTGGTAGAACTGCGTCATATTTATGGCACTTTGAAACATCATACGTCCTTATTGTTTCTGAACAAACTTTTAATTTTATGCAAATGTGAAACAACTTCGACCTTCTAAAGCTTTAATACTGACCCAATCTCCTATCGTGTGCAAGGCTGGTAGCCTCTGACTTGTGAAGTGCATGTCGAACGTAACTTTTGAGTTTAACTGTGGTATCGAGCGCTGTATGAATGAAATGTCTGTGATGTTTATGTGACATCATATCAGTGCCATAGGCCTACTTTGATATTCACGCAGGGGTGGCGCATACTTCAGTTTTCTCTTCCTCCGAACATTTGCTTGGAACACCATCTTTAAAAAGTTTCACGTAACCTAATCTTTATAGAATGAACTTAAGTGGAACAGTGAAATCTATTTAGGCAGTCTCCATCCTATGACACCGTTTATACCACTAAACTGTTCCCCTTACATTTCATTATATTTGTTACAAGGAGGGAAGCCACTGGGATAGAATCGGCCGACACAACGTCTCATTCGCCTCCACTGGTTTCCAATCAGTGCCGGTGGGGCAAGGCGAAAGAGTGTACACACTTTTTTTCAAATATGACTCGAGTTTCTACCCGGCATGCAAATAATTCTTGCTATTAAATAACCTAGGTTTCTTCATTTAGCATTTTTAGTTACTTAAATTGCCCCTTGCATATTTACAACGCTATTGTGCTCTGATTTCAATTTTATATACAAAAAATCAAGCGCATTCGCGTTATTTGCATTCTCTTTAGCGCCGTCAAACCCCTCTCTTTAAGTGTCACCTTAATGAATGGCAACTCATTTATTGTTTTTATTCCATTGGGATTATGTCTGGAATGCACCACCTTTTTATTCAGTATGAACCCCAAACATTTACAATAATGATTACAAGCCTCGATACTTGCCCTGAGGAAGCGGTTTCTCTGTCATTTTGTACATTATTTTAGACACTGAGTTTTCGGAAGTGGTTCTTGTTGATACTGATCATACCAACATCTGCAAGCCAAGGAATCGACAGGATGCCGTATATGTGAGAGTCACTGACTTTATTCGTCGCCTGATGGAATCCTCCTAGTCGTAGAAAAGAATCACCAAAGTCTATCGTCCCTTCCTTTTCTCACGAATACGTCTTTATCTGCTCATTTCTGTTTGATCGTTTGGTAATAGATGAACCAGATAACATTATTCCCTATTACTTTTTACCCTAAGCTTGACATTCTGCATATCCTTTTTGAGTTATTGACCTTGGTGTCGAGGTTATAGATACAAGATTTCAGATGGCTCCGGATGCATGCTCTCCAGTTCGCGCCTTTGTCAGTCTTTCCGACAGTGTGCCAGCCGGCTCAACTGATCCTTCTCATCAGAGGATCGCATTGTTAAACTCCTCAATGTATGGCATTGGGCCAATCTAGTCCCTTTGTGACGGGAATTCTTTTGCCCACTTTTTACCTCTTAAAAGGAGTCAGTGGCCTTACGCTTAACGATTACAGCTTGTGTGAATTGAATCGCTTCAGTAGTTTTGTAATGGTTTGTACTTTATTGTTGGATCGCTTTGCTAAGCGCAAAACTCCCTTGGAGGGTTCCTCAGCTTCTGCTAGACATGAAACCCATCTTGGCACTGGAACAGCTTAATCGATAATCTAAACGAGCTTCTGCTTTATGGTGAAATGGAGTAATGCTAATCATCGCTCCTTACCTCCTAACTGGGCAGAAATTAACCCACAATTGTGAGTGACCAACCGACGGGCAATTACCTTGAATTGATGGCCTCATCAAAACCGGTGACTTTCCGAAAATTATTTTCCACTATTTCGATGCTATGGGGAGTCAAGGTAGGACAGTGAACAAGCGTGGTATAGATTGCCTGTTGGCAATCAGGTGTTAAGCAAAAACCTTCACTACTTCACACGAAATCAGGTGTCAAATGTCCCAGTTTAAACAGCCCAGAGGCCACAAAACGCCAAAATGTAAGTAGTTTTGTTCCTTTTCAAATAGGGAATAAAGCACATTTTGATACAAGCGTTTCAAACTAGATGCGGCAACATTAGCATCGAATGTTTCATTACAGAGTTGCAAATAAAAATAAGTCGTGCTCTTTCGATAGCTGCGTTCAGGCAAGGTACCAGTAGGGAGGTCGGGAGAGGCAAAAAGAGAAAGTGCTAGGTGCGTTTAAAAAAATTCGAAACTGTTCATTGTTTCGTGTCGGCCTGAGTGTGTGTGTGTGTGTGTTTGTGTATATAGGGTGTACATATAGGTGTGCATGCGTGTGCGAAGCCCAGTGGGACGAGGGTGGGGACACATGTGAGTGGGTAGAAACACAAGAGCCTGGGGTTCACACAGACGATGCATTGAACTCTACCGTCCTGCTAGCACATTGGGTAATTACACGTGGACGGTCTGGGTGCATTTGAGAGTTAAATTGGCAAAGGAGGGCTCTCATTGTGCCTATTGGGACTTTTCTTTTTTCCTTATACCATTTGCCATGGCCGGTTTGCAGACACCATTGCTGGAGGTGTCAGAGTCGAAGTCCCTTTCATCTTCTATCTTTGGCATTCTGCCCATCGCAATTTTGCCCAGCATCACAACAATAAACTGAGGGAGGAAAAAATCTAAGCGGTAAAACGCACGCTAATGCCTTAGTAACTCATGACTCAAGGAATAGAGTTGAAGGCATGCAATCATTAAGTTCTGTACAATTTCGGTACAATCTCCAGCCACACCAACTAATACCAGGGTATGCAACATACACTAGTAACAGAATGGTCTATCTATCACTACAAGTAAAGACGACGCTTGCTAAATCATACGGAGATTAGGGTCGTAAACATTGCACGAAGCAAATGTGATAAATAGTAACACCGAACTCTACGGCCCTAACACGGCAGGTAATTGAGGAGATTTCTACCAGTGGAATGCTGATTTCCTACTTTAAAACAAAGTTGGACTCGCTCCTAGGTTGGGGTTTTCGAGGTGAACTTACGTAGGACCAATAGATATGTAAGAGATAGAGGGTGGTAAGCATGGTGTTGAAGAAGAGGAAGAAGTAGGCTTCGCGATCCAGGTGAGTGAGGTATACACCCCAGGTCGTGCCATATATCACCTTTGTGGGGAATAAGTAGATTCGAAGATAGAACCTAAGGGAGTTATTGAACAAGGTTATTTGTCACATTCGATAAAACAATATGCCTTGATCCAAGGCGAAGAATGAAGAGATGATAGCGTACACTTCTAAAATTGGAAATCATTTCAAGAGCAAGTACTTAGATCAGAGCGAGAGATGAGATGGAATTTTACTGTCCTCTAGCTCATGACTTGGTTTACACCGCTAGGGTGTGGGTTCACGTGAGCTAACGACTTGGCAAACATTTTCACGAGTATAGTCTCCGAACCTTTGGTTTGTGTAATTGAATACTAAGAGGGTAAAGTAAGGTAATATTTCCTATAATCCAAAACGATTGCTTGAGTCGTTTTCTTCCCGTGAGGAAGTGGCATTGTTCTATTGTTGGGGAACATTCAATCCTGATTAGTTTGGTTACAGTTCGGGTTTCTCGAAGCAGAACAGAGTTAAAATCAAACCTTAAATCGAAATTGGCATGGTAAGTACCAAGTGGTTTCCCAACCCAATGACATGTTTTAGCGGAATAATGGTACAGTTCATGCACTACCGATGTTGCCTACTCACATCGCACTAACGGATGAGAAATTGCAGCAGCAAAGGTTGCTTTGCGTGCGAAATGAGGCCTGAACAGATGTAACGTTTGATTCAAAGAGGAACAGTTGACCACATGAACTGTACAAAAGGCAAATGTTGAGAACTGCAAGGGAATTCATTACGTCAGTTCAAATTCACACAGACATCAATCTGCTATGTAAATGTCACTGGGACAATTTGAACATTAGGATAGGACAAATATAAGTAAGGCTTAGAAATAGCAAGTGTTGGAGGTGAGAAAACAACCTCATTTGCAGATAGACACAAGGGCTCAGCTAGTTATTTTAATAATTAAGTCGACGGAAAGCAGGCATTAGGCAGTTACACAGTTTGGAACTGCGTTCGAAAAGCAAACATTGGCGTTCCCTTACCCATAGCATCGGCAAGTACACATTACCTATCAACTAATTTTAATGGATGTAAGCTATTTTTTCAAATGCAAAAAAGTATCTTTGCCTGCAAATGAAGGAGTCAAGATGAGTTTGAAATCAAGTGGCACCAAATAAGAACACAGGAGAATATAAAAATGAAGTTTTTAGTCTGCAGTTTGAGCATAGCAAATGATGCAAGCATGTAGTAAGCTCGCACGAACATCATTAAGCATTAAAAGTGACGAAAAAACAATTAATGAAAGACAAGGAGTGAATTTCGCAATAGTTACGGAAGTCTACACTTAAAAGTACACGTGGGAAAAGAGAGCGGAGACGATAATAGAATTGAAGGCGTGACAGGAGTAAAGGAATCAAAGAAATCAAAAGTAGTTCAGGCTAATCAATGAATTCAGACACTTTCCAGTAGGAGGCGCGTAACAAATGACAAAGAAATTAACAATTAGAATAGTTAAGAGTGGGGGCCGCCCTAGAGAACTAAGCCATGGGAGTTGCAGACAAACATGTGAGAATTTAAATAGTCACTATAGAGGTCAAAAACTCACCAACTGAGAACAAACGCAGCAAAAAGGCAGTTGGCGATATGTTCTAGTATATTGGCGTATTCGGGATACTTCGAACGCACGGCGATAAAAAATTTTCCCAACTCCAAAATAACATCCGATATGTCGTGCAAAAAGAGAACCAGGAGTCCCACTCGATGGAACCTACAAAAAGTATTCCATGTAATGATAAAGTTTACACTCACTACCATTTGCTAAGGCCTGAGCCTTCAGAGCGACTACCTACATTGAAAGCACGTTTTTTTGCAGCAGCATTATTGCTACATAATTAGGCAACGTTATGTGTGAAAGAACGGCAGACGATGGGGATAACGGATTTGGCATTTAAACAGTCACAAGAATTTAGTTGAGAGGTAAGCTATCTAATAAACTAATAAAATAGCTACACTTACACTATATGCGTAAAAAAGCTTTCATTTTTGAATCTCGACAGCGAAACGCTACTAGTCCTAATAAGCCCATTCTGTGAAGACTGAGAGTGTACTAGTTGTTCAAAGCAACCTAAAATATGCCTCAGAAAGAAGCCTCCAGAGCTGATAACAATTGCGCAATGTCACAAAAAACTGAATGAGGAATGAATCATTTAAAACAATCCATGATACTATGCCTCAATGAAAAAACGTAAATCACGGCCATTATCTCACTTTTAGGAAATACAACCAAACCAAAACGGGACAACTTTATGTAACTAGACCTGCAAGTGATTGAAGTGGAGACACGCAATAGCAAAATTACCGCAATTATTGCAATGACAATTTCGGCACAAATTTTCTCAAACAAAGAAAACACAAACGCGTCATACAGATTGAGGGATTTCAAGTTAGTTAAGAAAGGAAACCACAGCACAAAAAGTGGATGACGTCTGAGGCGTAAACATGGGGTTCTGGTGCTATGTTTTACTACATTAGAATGCGTTACCTACCTGAAATTTCTCACGAGGAAAACTAATAAACATGGAGTCTGATGTAATCTGCAAATGACCCTTCTTAAAGATGACCTCATCCACAAAATCAAGAGATGACCAAGCAGAAGGTCTGACACACCAGTTATCGTTTCGTTAGTACGCACTGAAAGGAACGCACGAAGAGTGAACGTCACTGGAAAAACCTTAATAAAATGTATACAATCGTTGATCTGCAATTTCAATGTCTCAAAATATGAATTGATGTAACTCGCGAAGTTGCAGCGCTAGTAGTCAGCATCAAAGGATAAATCATTCTATACAGCAAAAATATATAATATAGCTCCAGAACGATGAAGTGGAAAAATAATAGCAATCATAATGACGCAGGCAACAGGACAACTGACGCACGCGAGAAGCACAAGTCTACCATGAGTTCCGCATAATATCAGTTAATTTTGTAGATTGGTAACGTCAACTTTGATCACATTGGTTAGCTATTTGACGGGCTCCTATAAAGTCAGTGAGAGACTCGTAAAGAAAACACAAACGGAAGCGAAGCAAAACACCCCTACACCGTTCTTTAAATACAAGCATAAGCACAACAGTCTGATCCCACGTGTATTCCAGCACTTCCATACACAAGAAAAGTGATTGACTGTTTCTTGAAGAGAGCAAGGTCTGAGATGACCATGGCTAAGTTGGCTTCAAATAAAAGGTAAGCGCACACCGTTTGGGAGATAGCCACGTACTTGCACCAGAGGTCACTTTGTGGACAAAGTTGGCTAACAAATTACCATAAAATGGCAGAGTAAAATAATGACAATATTTAAAGCCACAATGTAGCCATAAGGCAAAAGATGCTCCTATACAAACCACAAGACACGGTGACCCGACCCTATTAACCAAAGTATCATCCTACAGCTAAGGCATAAGCATTTCAAAAAGTGCTCAAATGGCCAAGCCAAAAAATTCCAAGGAGGCGGAGCCCTAAGGTAAGAGATAGTTCTTACTCTCAACGATAAAGCGAATTTAAAAGTCCATGGACCGAAGACAAAATGAAGGTTGGAGAAGGGTTGAATGAGTAGCAACTCATTCAAAAGAACGAAGAGGGAGGATGCTTACTTAGCGAAGAAGGAGAAGGAGAGGAGAGCAATTGTAAGGACGTGGTGAATAAGTAGCACGGATGTGTCCTTTCGCCTGACGTCCAGCCGCAAAGCAGCATAAAAGGAGTGAGCGTAGAAGCCGATTTGGAACATATACAACCAACGGTATTGCCACGGTATAGGATCATCAAAGTAGCCAGCTATTGAGAGGGAGAAAGATGGAGTAGTGTGAGACTAGTTGGTTTATGCCATCAACAAGGTACGAATTTCACTACTGCAAAACTTTTCTTCTATGCAAAAAAAGCCAATATGTTCAAAGAAACTTCGGAAAAAGACATTGCCCCAAACGGCATTTTCCCACATATTTAAGGAAAGATGTTTCAAAAAAGCATAGATATGACGACCAAGGTTAATAGATAGAACATATTAAAGTGAGGAACATTGTACTCCATTTCAAAAGCAGCAAGTTTTAGATTCTGTGACAAAACATCAGTTCACGAATTAACGCATGACTAATGAGTAGTGCTCAAAGTTGTTCCAGCTCTTGCTTGAAGTGCTCAACAGAGCGATGCAAAATCTCATCTACGGAATATGGGTCACACTAAAGTGAAGGTCTTTGAATGTTCGTCAAACCCGTTTAGTACGAAGTTGTGAATAATAAAAAAATGACCACACCCATACTACGAGATCGAAGACAGTGAAATTCGTGTTTCACTAGCCAGTGTGGCACGCGCACAGCGACAAACCGGGCGATCAAACCGACGGTATCACACTATCATGAGTTGCTGAATCAATTTGCATAAAGGGTTTTCGTTTAGGTCCCATAATTGAGCTATCCAGGAGACTAAATTGTTGAATGTTTAATGACGTTAAGAATAAGATGCGATTAACAAAATCTTAGTACACAATCAAAATTAATCTTCACGAATATAATTCGGTCTGGACGTGGAACAGTATCTAGTCACAAGAGTAATGTTGCTCTCCCAAAAGTCGCCGTAAGGCAAGCCCCAACCCTAGTAGAAGATACAGGAAGAGAAAGGAAATATTCACACAAGGAGCGAAAATTTGGCGAAAAAACAAACAATTTGAAAAAACTTCTCCGTATGGCGCGATGGCATAAACGCAACGACAAAAACAGAACAAACATCACTACCGGTGGCTTCATTTTATTGTCTTTTGTAGGCCGACGTTGTCATGGCTTCACTCATCACGTTGACTTTGTTGAATAGGCGCTCACATCACAAACGCATTGTTTTCGAAACTCTGACTTCCTAAACTCAAGATTTCAAAGTGGGAGACTAGATTAGCCCTCAGACACACGAAAATGGTTTAGTAAACAATGGAAGTTTATATGGCTGCTCCAATGGACTCTTCCTTACCAATCCCAAAGATGTGATCAAAATCTTGTACAATCATCAAAAAAGCTAGAAGAATTTCATATCATGGGACATACGAAAAGTATATACAACCGAAATACTAGTTGAACAATTCAATGATATACTGATTGGAAGTTGTCAAGCGAAAGAAGTTGAAGGAACTTTTAATTAAAAAGCGTTTTTTGCAGACCAACAACCCTCCTAATTGCAATTTACTAGATTCATTCCAGAAGAGGGTGCCTTTCGAATAATCAGCACTAATTTGCTGATTATCTATTCCAAAGTGAATGTGATGTAACTAAGGCCTAAAAACGACGAACATCCAATAAAACAATGGTCATTCTTGTTCCATCAAGAGGTACAAAATTCCAACCAGCAAAAAAGAAAGGTCATCAGTTAAGGCCGAGTCCACTTCAGAACACGGGCACGGCCTATAACGCGAATGCAATCCAAACCAACAGATTGGCAACATTAGCAAAGAGGTAGGCAAGTGTTGGAAGACCTCCCCACAAGGGAGAAATACACCCTAACCCATGTTTAGATAGGTAGTATTGAAGTCTGATTAACGGTAAATATAGAAACCTTAGATCAACCTAGATGTAGTGAAGTAATTCAAGTGATTACCCTGCCGGTGTCAAGTTTGCAGTGACAGCTAGTACGAAGGAAATTAAAAACAAAATTGGCTAGAAGCAAACAGTCCATCAGCTTTTGCAAAATTGAATGATTGCGCCAATTCGTAACTCAGAGTGCTACAGCTTCGGAGTACGATCAGCACAATGCCAGTCGCAAAAGCATATGCAATTAGATTGTGTGAATCACCACACCTGCTTTAACTCATTCCGAAGTGCTAGCCTACATGCATGAAACACGTCGGCAAGAGACGGTGGAAGAACAAAGGTCAATGAAGGCACTCAGAGACTAAATGATCTACCGCGTTATATGGATGGCAAGAGATACCTTAATGTACGTACAGAGTCATCTCAACACTACGCACCATTAAAATGAACCTGCATGAAATGGAATACGGGTTTTCTTCAGTAAGCAACCAAGAAAAGTGCTCCGATGAATACATCTACCTATGAAGAACCTTAGAGCACAAGCAGTCCAACACAGTGAGCTTAAAAACGATAAGACTAGTGATGTATTTAGGAGGTTACATTGGTTTGTTGAGCTTCAAAGTAGTAGCAAAAAAACATTGGTAACATGTAGCATGCAACTGATGAATACGTGGAC